TGACCTAAAACACCGGACCTTAAACACGTGACCTAAAACACTTGACCTAAAACACTTGACCTAAAACACCGGACCTAAAACACTGGACCTAAACACTGGACCTAAACACGGATATAAACACTGGACCTAAAACACTGGACCTAAAACACTGGACCTAAAACACTTGACCTAAAACATCGGACCGCATACTTTCTTTAACTCCCAACCATAACGACTTCCACCCCCTCCCCATCCAAACACCAAAGTTCACCCACTGACCTCTTATCGCTCATCCCTCATCTCTCTCTCTCCCTCTCTCTCTATCTATCTCCCTCTCTGCCTCTCTCTGTCCCTCCCTCTCTCTCTCTCTCTCTTTCCCTGCCCCTCTCTCTCTCTCTCTCTCTCTCTCTCATGCCTCTCTTTAACTTTCCACTTCTAACTCATTAGACTTTCAAACCTACCCCACTACCCAAGACAGACCACCTTTACCCCAAACTCGTCACCACGCTCTTTCCAATCCGTTGGTTTCAAACGTGGACGTCGTCATATTCCATCTTTGCCCTTACGTTATCATCCCAATTCATGTGTCATATTGTGTGTATTTTTTTAAAATTAAGTCATTGCTTTCATGTTGGTCATTGTTGCTGACCTTGACTTTACCCAGCGTTGTGACCCAGTTACACGCGTTGCCTTTCTTGTGCACCGTCTTGTGCACCATTATGTGCACCATCTTGTGCACCATCATTAGGCTGGATCCAACAATCATGACGGACTGTAGAAGTAGTCTATACAAGTAGTCTATACAAGTAGTTTATACATACAAGTAGTCTATACAAGTAGTCTATACAAGTACAAGTAGTCTATACAAGTAGTCTATACGAGTAGTCTATACAAGTAGTCTAAACAAGTAGTCAATAAAAGTAGTCTATACGAGTAGTCTATACAAGTAGTTTAATCAGCAGTGAACTTGAAATCGTAAAACTGTTATACTGTTAGACATAAAGGTTCGCACAGGAAGCTTACCCTTCTTGTCTCCGCCCCTGTACGCAATTTATGACCCCAGCTCCCCCTTTTATCACGTTTTAGTTACACAGTGGCGTAACTACCGCTCAGATTCAGGCCTGCGTCCCAAACGTTTGTCTACTCTGAGAGCAACACCACCAGTGTAATGGCACGCCTTCTCACAAAAGTCGACCCAACCCGATGAACTTAAGAAGCTATTGCTATTGGTACAAGCAGGAAACCCCTGAGCTGTGTATCTATCCAGAGTATGCTGGAGAGGACATGTCTATGTGTATCTATCCAGAGTATGCTGGAGAGGACATGTCTATGTGTATCTATCCAGAGTATGCTGGAGAGGACATGTCTATGTGTATCTATCCAGAGTATGCTGGAGAGGACATGTCTATGTGTATCTATCCAGAGTATGCTGGAGAGGACATGTCTAATGATTCCTGTCCTACGGTTTATTGGATTCACATGTGGCAAATTTATTCATTTATTTCTTATGATTTGATAAAACCACACAGGTAAGGAAGGTTGAATGAACTCGGCAGTTCCTGAGGAAGTAGATCTTGAAGAGGAGAAGAAAGAAACCGTCATTAACTTAACCTCAGACACCGAAGCCATAATACAGTAGCCAACTTGTAAGGATATTCAAATATCGGCTGGTTGCGCTAACATAACACAAAAGGGGTGAGGTTGGGGGGGGGGGATTCAAACAAAAATTAGCATAACTTTATAACGGGATATTCAATTGTGAACAATTTAAATTGTAAATAAAATGGTTTAGCCCGTCTTGTTTCAGTTCCCATTCCACCTCCCCACTCACCCCACACACACACACACAACAAAAACAAAACACAGAAATACACACACAAACACACACAAACACACAAGATCAAAACCAAAACACCACAAATTTGCCAAAAGTTTCATGAATCGAAGCAAAGCTGTATACCAGAGATGATGCTTTTTGCTGGGTTATTTTTTTTTAATTTTTTTTTTTTTTTTGTTTTGTTTTTTTTTTTTTGTCGGGGTTCTCAAACTCATCTGAGATCAGGGCTCCGGCACGTTCAGTGTTCGAGTTGAAAGACTTTAGATTCGAGTACGAAAAAGTGTAAGACGCTCACAGTGCCGCGCGAAAATTTCTGTTGCGGACTTGAAGATATTCTAATCTCATTACCTTGAAATCTGCTTCTTGAATTTTGCTTAATTTTTTTTTTTAAATCAAAATTCTATTATTATTCTAAAATAATAAAATTTATTTTCATGAGATAATGTTGGAAAGATTGATGATTTTAATAAATCTATATGATTGTTGAAATAAGTTTGACTATGCTGTGTACATTTTGATGCGAATTTTAAACATTATGATTCTTGTTTTGAATGTTTGAATAGACGATCGACAACACACGGTTTGTCCTATTCAAGAATAGGGTGGTTTTGTTTCCCAATTTAAAACTTGTGTTGCAAATGAACAACTGAACTCTTTAAGAATGTTCATTTTTATAACATCAAAAAATGGATTTGTAAAAAAAAAATAATAATTGTAATCTCTTTATTAATCATCAAGATTTGTCTTCATTTGATTATAATGTTTTATTGGTTGTTTGTTTCCATTTGACTGTTCTTCACATGATGAAGGTGTCTTTTATTTTGACCGTTTATTCCAGGGTTATTTTTTACTTCTGTGAATTAAAATAAATAAATAAATAAATGTTTGAATAAACGCATTTAAAATAAACCATTTCTTTGTTACTTTAAATATATATATATATATAAATTCGTTTGCAAAGTGAATTTGTTTTATGCAGTGTAAATCATACTGATAGACACGTTCAACTTCTTATCTTTCTTTCAGCGGTGGTAATTCCATAAACACACATGTGTAGACATACTCACAACAGTACACACCCCATGCGAACACATGCATCCATTTATCTATAGTATTAAACATTTTATTTTTAACAAAAACAGTCATTCTTACGCCTAGATGCCCAGAAACCAGCTCTGCTCCAAAAAAAAACAACAAAAAAACAACAAAAATATTTGACTGTAATCAATGTCGTAGTTTCCGGCGGAAGTCCTCCCTTGATGGCAGATGACACAACATTCGTCTCGCACATTTAAATGGTATGTGCAGTGCTCCGTTTAATTTTGAGCGGGTTTCCTCATCTCCTTCAAGTTTTTAGTTAAATACTTAGGTAAAGAGTATTTGATGGATAAATATTTCTATTTTTCATGGTTTGTTTCTACGCGTCAACTGTGAAGAAATTAAATAGAGGAAATTTAAGTAAGTTTTGTAGAGAAATAATAAAAAATTGTTTTTGATATAAGTTGTGTGCGCGTGTGTAGGTTAATATTAATATTTTCTGTGCACCTCTCTGTTAGTTCGCTACTTCAAGATCAGTGAGATATTGAGGTATAATGTTGGTTTTATGCGTGTTATCTCCCTTGTACTCCGGGCGACATACCTGCCAAAGGCGACGGAGCACATTCTATCGGGACTTATGTGAATTTCAGCTTACAAGACGGCACTCTTGAATATCCCCAACCACAAATTCTATAGTTTGAGGTCCTCAAACTGTCATTTTAAAAAAACGTCGAGGTGGAGCGGTTTTGGATGTCTTTTTAGTGATATCACCAACGTGGAAGAGGGTGTGTACCACTAGAATCAATCATGAAATGTTGTCATCTTTTTATTTCAAAAGTATGATAAAGAAAGACTCAAATTTTGTAGGAAAAGTTTAGTGAGCTTTTAAAAAAAAAATCCAAGTTATGTACCTTGCAAGTTCACACCTTCAAACGAAAGAAATCGTGACGTCAACACAGTCCAGCACATGGTTCAGCAACCATTTTGTGTTGGTGCTATTTTTACAGGCTATTTCATACGTTAAGAAAATATTATTGTAATGGCACATCGTTATATAAATATATCCATTGCATATGTTATACATTATTAGTATTTATTTTTAAAAAACGGAGTCGCATAATTTCAAAGAAGGTCATGCCGGCTCCGGAAACGGGAGTAGCTGCCCACTGCTCCGGAAACGGGAGTAGCCGCACACTGCTCCGGAAACGGGAGTAGCCGCCCACTGCTCCAGCACAATGCGCTCAACATGAAATAGAGACATTTATTTTACAAAGCAAAACAATAGGTCTATGCACAAACATCCATCTCTGTATGCGTGCGAATGCAATTTGTGTATGAGTGTGCGTGGATGCGCGCGTGTGTGCCTGTGTGTGTGTGTTTCCGCGTGTGTTTCAAGACGCAGGACTTCGTGTGTGAAGATATTGTATGGAATCCAGCAACAACAAGGTCACTTCAACTTGTTGCATTATGGGAGTTGGTGGTGTGGGTGTGTGGAGGATTGGGATACAGATTAAGAATATTTCTAAACAAGCAGAAATGCATCACAATAACCAATCACTGACACAGCAGGGATGAATAATAATGCAAATTTTGTCGAAGAAATGTGTTTTGCCACTGAATTTCAAAACAGAAAACAATATTACAGTAACATGATTTAACGTTGAACAGGGTGATGACTACAGTGTAAGTGAGGTTAACAAGTAACATGACATTTACAACAAGAAACTACTATATTTCAGGGCCGGCGCTAGGAGGGTGTGGGGCCTTGGGCAAATTGAATTTTGCGTGGCCGTTGACGTTATATATTCCGGTGATAGGATATTAACACACGTTATAGTCGTAATAGGGCCTTGCTGGTCATAATGGGACGCGTCATAACGGATTAGTATGGGAGCCAGACTGACCTTCAGACCATTTTGCTATCTAATAACTCCGAACATTGTGTTGACTGGATTAGGAACTATTAGTAGGCTTAGGTATATTATAAATGTACTACGGCAACGCGCGCGGGCCCCGCGCCCCACGTCGCCATCCCCTAGCGCCAGCTTTGTATATGTTTACCACTCAATACATTAAAAAAAACATGACCTGACAATATCTGATAAGTGAAAATCAAGGGGGGGGAGGGTGGGGGGGGGGGGGGTGGAATAGTTAAAAATTATACTAATAAGAAAATATAATAGATTAAAAGAAATTTTCCGATTATCTCTCGTGCGCTCAAATCGTATAACTACATTGAATGCATTCTCTCGAGATATGAAGGAAATTTTTAAAAGGCCTGGTAGCAAGGGGCGTCTTATTTAATACGGCACTAGTGGTAGCAAGAATTTTTTTGTAGTAGTACATTATCATTGATAAAAACGACAAAAAACACCAAAAGATTCCATGCTCTATAGTTATTTTCGGGTCGAATTCTGTGAGATGAGATCGCTTTCCAAAAACAAAAACAAAAACAAACAAAAGAGAGTCGCTAAAGAAACACACACAGAAACATTTGCACACCTAAGCATGACGTACATGACATATTGTTCGAGTTATTAAGTATGTTAATAAGATTTAAACCACGTACAACGAAATCGTCTTTATACACTGTAAGTATGCTGATAAATGTATCGTCATGATGGAATGCAAAGGAATAGAGATTAAAATTGTATTCCGTGGATGCTGGTCACGGTTCAATACTCTCCAAACGATGGAGAAAGCTGTCCTTTTAAAATACGTTTCCACTAACATCTTCCATACACTTTTGTTTATAAAACTTAATTATTTTTGCGTTGTACGTTAGTAAATGACCGTGCATTTCTTCAGCGTTATTTTAAAGCATTCAATGGTATGAGATCAGTTCTAGCCGGTTGCCTGAAACAAAGATTTCTTTAAGAAGAACACGTCAATATTGCCCATGCTCTTCCTCAGGTCCACGGGCGAGTACTCCTTTCCCTTGAACGAGGCAACGTATCCGTGGGCGGCCATGAAGTTCAGGATGGGCTCGCTCTCCTCGGGGACGCGCCTGTGCCACTCCATCTGGACGACCCGGACGTTGACCTCGTGGAAGAACTTGTGTGCACACACGAGCGCGTGCTGCTCCGTGTTCTCGATGTCCATTTTCAGGTACACGTTCCGGCCTCTCATCAGGGGCGTCAGGTCGTCTATGCAGATGGTCCTCAGCTCGAGGGTTCTCGTCTTGTCCTCGTGGCTTACGTCAAAAGGTTTGGAGACGTTGAGGCGGCTGGCACCGAGGTGGTGGCTGAAAGATAAAAGGCAATGTTGGAAACTATAAGATATAAGTCTATGGTGGAAAATTTAAGATACAAGCCAGAGTTGGGAGATATAAGATACAAGCCAGTGGTTGAAGATATAAGATACAAGCCAGTGTTGAAAGATAGAAGATACCAGCCAGTGTTGGAAGATAGAAGATACAAGCCAGTGTTGGAAGATAGAAGATACAAGCCAGTGTTGGAAGATAGAAGATACAAGCCAGTGTTGGAAGATAGAAGATACCAGCCAGTGTTGGAAGATAGAAGATACAAGCCAGTGTTGGAAGATAGAAGATACAAGCCAGTGTTGGAAGATAGAAGATACAAGCCAGTGTTGGAAGATAGAAGATACAAGCCAGTGTTGGAAGATAGAAGATACAAGCCAGTGTTGGGAGATAGAAGTTACAAGCCAGTGTTGGGAGATAGAAGTTACAAGCCAGTGTTGGGAGATAGAAGTTACAAGCCAGTGTTGGGAGATAGAAGTTACAAGCCAGTGTTGGGAGATAGAAGATACAAGCCAGTGTTGGAAGATATAAGATACAAGCCAGTGTTGGAAGATATAAGATACAAGCCAATATCCAAGCGTATTATTTAACTAATAACAGATTTAATATAAAATAAAATACAATTTAAGTGTTATTTTTATTTAATTCTATTTTTACTTTTGTTTGTTCGCCAATGAAGGCCTTTTGCCGACACGTTCGCTATTTTGTTGCATTCTTTTTTTTTTCTCTCCAGGTTTTCCCATTATTTATTTCGATAATTTCTTTATCGTTGAGTGGCTTTGAGTTTTTAACAGACCAACTGTTGATGATGTTATAAGAGAGAAGAAGGGGGGGGGTGGTATTTACCGCATGAACGTTATAGACAACGTCCGGTGGTCGCTGTAGAGGGGGTTGTTGACGATAGTCACCTGGTCGCCCAGGCCGCTGAGTTTGAGCGCCATCTGCAGGCGCAGCACGTTCTCCATCAGCATCTCGACACTGACCACTGTCCGGCCTAGCGCCGCCGCCCAGAGGGTGTACTCGCCGATGTTGCAGCCGACATCAAACAGCATCAGGCTCTCGTCTTGCTGTACGGGGGCAATACAGTTACACGTCAATCAATATTGTCCTCCACTAAAAATCAGGTGTGTGATATTTAAATCTATAGTGGGGCTTCAGATCTCGTAGTTGGACCAAACTTTGATCAAATCATTGGCTTCGCAGGTTCATATAGATCTAAAATTGTGTAACTGATCGTTTTTTAATGCGCAAAAAAAAAAAAAAATCAATTAAGGAATTGGGTTGGGATGAAAGCTATATAAAAGCGGTGGTTGACCAAAATAGCCACTTTGATAGCAGGTAAACCTTTTGCTGGCCACATGTCTTTACAACAACTATTAAAATTAACACCCTCTAAAATCAGCGGTTCTCAACCTGGGGGTCGTAACCCCCTTTAGGGGTCGAACGACCCTTTCACAGGGGTCGTCTAAGACCATTGGAAAACACATATTTGTGAAGTAGCAACGAAAATAATTGCATGGTTGCGGGGGGGAGGGGGGTCACCACAATTTGAGGAACTGTATTAAAGGGTCGCCGCAATAGGAAGGTTGAGAACCACTGCCCTAAATGCTTTATAGAATTATTTTTCTATTCTTAATGCATATGATGAAATGTAAAAATAGACCACATAAGAAATAGAACACAGACAGGACATTGATCGGTTCTCTCACTAAACGTTTCAAAATAGTTTTTTAAGAACGAAGAAGTTGGTCTTCGAGGTCACAAGTCAGGATTCTGCGGACCGCAATATTTGACGTGGCGGGCCTCACGTGGACCGAGGGCCGCGATGCGACCACCCACTGCCCATAAAACAAGCAGCAAAAAAAGTATTGTGGGTGGGGAAGCGAGGGGGATGAATGGCTGGTCCTGATAAACCATCAAGCGTTTGATCTGCTGGACAGCAGGCCACAGCTTCAAGGAAGAAAGAAGAAGCAACTCAAGGGTGCTCAAACGGTAACCTTTGAACCGAGAGCTAGAAAGGGGGGGGGGCAGCTATGATAGAGGGGCGGAGTAGTTGAATGTGATGACTGTTCGACATGAAGAAGAATGCGTGTTGTTGTTGTTTTGTGTTGTTGTTGTTGTTTTTGTTCCTTGCCGAACGATGTTCGATGTTTGCGCTTATCCTCCGTGACGCCCTGTCTCTTATCCTCCGTGACGCCCTGTCTCTTATCCTCCGTGACGCCCTGTCTCTTATCCTCCGTGACGCCCTGTCTCGTTATCTTGTCGCGACGTCTTCACAACTAAATACATTCTGATCTTAAAACTGACGGCCGTAGAAGTCATGGAATCCTTTCAAAATATTTTTTTTACTAAATCGCAATTCAACCATGGAGACGGCCCTATTTACGAAAATTGCCGCCACGGTTCACATAAACTAAACAGCCTGATAAAAAAAAAAAATTGTTTACCTTGAGAACTTCGTCCATGGCGTAGATTAGCTTCTTTTCCCATAATTCATTTTCCTTGAAGACAGAAAGAAAAAAAAAACACTTACTTGTAAAATAAAATAATATAGCTGTATATTATAAAGTAAGTCACATATTCATTTCTTATTGAAATGCTCGAGTAGTATCATACTAATTATTAAATACTAGCCCTGAACCGACTGCAGTTGTTTTACACCGGGCAAAAATGCCAAGTCTTACAATGAAACATTTCTTAAAAACACAGTCTTCGTATCAATCCGTTATAAAATCGATGAGAGGGCGCTGGTGCTGATAAAAAGTTTTTTTTTTTAAAACGTGCATAAGAGTAACGCATTTAATAAGAAACCCAATAAGTGCTCACTTCCCCTCTTCCCCCCCCACCCCGGCCTAAATTCTCGCAATCTCGCATTTCCTTCACGCCCCTGAACTATATTTATATTCTAAGGACCCACCCTCTATTAAACAGCAAATTAATTTCACCAACTGTTTCAGAAAAAAAAAAAAGTTACGCACCAAAAGCACATGCGAATTTTTTTTTTTTTAAATCTCACTTAGCACAATAATTCCCCCGAACTATATTTATATTCTAAGGACCCACCCTCTATTAAACAGCAAATTAATTTCACCAACTTTTTCAAAAAAAAAAAAAAGTTACGCACCAAAAGCACATGCGAATTTTTTTTTTTTTAAATCTCACTTAGCACAATAATCGGGAATTTCTTTGTATCTTCCCTTGAAGAACAGTAAAAACGAATTGTTGCGGTTTTTTCCCAAGCTTTCCTAGCCCCCCCCCCTCTTTCCCCCCGGTCCCACCCAGACTAGGAAAGCTGCCGGCCTATATACAAAGATTAAATAAGAACCATCCAGGAAAAGAAATGCTAGAAATCGCGTCACCAGATAGCATTCTTTAGAACAAATGAAACGTAATCGAAAGTAAACCTTTTCCCAATTAAGGGAGGGGTGGGTAAAAGGAGTGTCACAGCAGATTTAATCGGTGACGTCTATATCAAAACAAAACTAGTGGGGGGGGGGGGGACAAGTGGAGGCGGGATAAAATTAGGCCCACACAATTTGTCATAACACTCGCACTTAAATAAGCAAAAAGGAAATGAGGAAAACTGACCAATGTTGCAAACGACTTACTTTCAGCACTTTGGAGATCGTGGAATCATTGGCCATCGGATGCGGACATATGTGAACGCCAGGTCTTGGTGACTCTGGCAGGAGCATGCACTCATCGTAGGGTTGTGCCAGCTCGGGGTTGGGCAAGGAAGGAACAATATTGACATCCAAGTGTAGCTCCCTGGTGTCCTTGCGTAAATTTAGATATTCAAATTACAATTTGGTTAATTTCCATTGGGAAGACGCAATATTCAGAAGATTTAAGTTGTTTTTAAATTTCGCTTTTATTTGTTTGGTAAAAGATAAGAAAATAGAAAGAACAAGGTTAAATTGAAGCTTGAAATAGAGAGACGGGACAGTACAAGAAGGGCGTTTCTGTTGATATTTTCTTTATTGTACTGTCTGCTGAGGAAGGCTCTTGGCCGAAAAGTTCTCCTTTTATTGTCCTGTCTTTGTATGTGAAGCTTCCACATACCTTGTTCCACCATTTCCTTCACACAGCTTGAACGAAGTCCTTCGTTCATTAAAAGATCAGACAAGTTGATTGGAATCTAATCGTTCCGATACTAAAGTGTTATGACCACCATTTTTTATACGTCACTTAGCTCTTGCTCTGCTAGTGGTGATCGCACCCATGTTCCGATGGTGGTGTTCTTTACCTCTATCTCTCAGACTCAATTTCAACCATACAATAATTTTGATTTTACCTCTTTAAAGAGAAAGAGAGAGAGAGAGAGAGAGAGAGAGAGAGAGAGAGAGAGAGAGAGAGATCTATCATACTTTCAATGTCACAAAATGTAAATGAGTTTCTGTTAAAATGTCAGGCTTATATTCTCCGCTGTCGTCTCCTCACCTCTGCAGCACGCACTTCCATTTCCACTGTATCAGGAACACGTTCTTGACCCATGACAAGAACGGTCTCGTCTCTGTCCCTGGTGATGTGATAGACCAGGCCCATGAGGGCGATCATGGGGAGTATCAGTGAAACGTTGACATTTCTACAACGTAACGTGGGCTTCATTTCTCTCGGTCACTACCAGTCTGGACAATGATAAAGCCGCGAATTTTACATGGCTACTTGAAATATTTGAACAAAATTGGTACCTTAAAAAAAAACAAGTTTGAATAGCCGATTTCAGGTCATGTATGATATGACTAGAATTAATCAATTAACCCAAATGTTTGTTGTTTTTTTTTTGTTTTTTTTTAAAGTTAAAAAAATAGATCTTTCAATTCAAAACTCGCCAAGTGCATTTTTTTGCATTTTTTTAATTTATGCAAATTTGAAGATAGGAAACGATTACAAAAATTATTTAATATTTATGCGTAATAAAACATAAATTATATACAGGTAAAAATATCTAATCCATTGGAAGCATTTTCAGAAAATATAATGCTTATTGTAGTGGTGCGATGTAGCCCGGTCATAAGCGGTGAGATATCGGTAAATAATTCTGATTATGAAGGATTTATCTATTTTCGGTAGGCCTCCCACGCTTGAAATGAGTTAAGACTGACCATCGGTCAAGATAAAACGATAAAGTCGTGGCGCAAGGAACACAGTCCTTTCCAAGCATGACGGTTGAGGGCCATAACTTTCCCGGAGGTAAAAAACTTGACATTCTCTGGTTCTAATATCTCTATAGCTCGCAAAAGCAGCAGAAACTATGTCCAAATTGAACGAGCGCATGTTGAACATCTCTAAAGTTAATGAACACTGAATTGAACGTGTAACTTGCAGGCGTGCTCGGTACGCTCCTATTGCAGGCGTTCTCGGTACGCTCCTATTGCAGGCGTGCTCGGTACACTCCTCTTGCAGGCGTGCTCGGTACGCTCCTCTTGCAGGCGTGCTCGGTACACTCCTCTTGCAGGCGTGCTCGGTACGCTCCTCTTGCAGGCGTGTTCGGTACGCTCCTCTTGCAGGCTTGCTTGGTACGCTCCTCTTGCAGGCGTGCTCGGTACGCCACTCACCAGTGGAAACGCAACAGCTTCCACCTACTATGCCTGCAGCACATTCTGTGCATTCGATGGAAAGGAAAAAGCGCTCAACGCTTTATTAAAGGCACGTTCGCTGGTTATGGCAGGCCAAGTGAGTTGAGGGATACCGTTTTCCGGAGGATCTGCCGAAGCCAACATCGAAATTAGAGAATGCAAGATAATCGCCTTATCACAGTTCCGGTTGGCGAAATGGATTGGACACGGATATATGACAGGCAGAGGTTGCGGGATATCCGACAGGCAGAGATTGCGGGATATCCGACAGGCAGAGGCTGCGGGATATCCGACAGGCAGAGGCTGCGGGATATCCGACAGGCAGAGGCTGCGGGATATCCGACAGGCAGAGGCTGCTGGGAACGAAGCCACGTAACATCAAGAAGGGTGTTAAAGAAGACCAAAGCAGACCAGCAGTCCAAGTTCACCGGCGAGAATTACAGTTGAGACTGTTACACCGGGATTGGCGCCATAATTCCCGCGAGAACATGCCGATGATACAGGAGCTACACGATCGCTTCACGGAGGCGGAAGGATTCCATCAGCATGTTAAGATGTTCAAAGCGCTGGCTGAAACTCAAAGATGGTGGAAAAACGTATGTATCGTTGATCAAATCAACGACGATGTAATTACGTACGCTACATGGTTTTGTAATTATTTTTTAAAAAAAAACAGATTTGTCTCATTAGATGAAAAATAGAAAAGGGCAGAAAACCAGTATGCAGAGAAAAACGACACCAAAGCTAGTGATATTAACATTGTTTAATGTAATTGTATTATTAAGTTTATATAAAAATACAAATATTAAATATACAACAAATAAAAACTATACTGACTTACAGCACAGTAAGTGAAAAAGTATAATTCCAGAAAGATACAATAAATATTAACATATACAGACACACGGAGTTTTAAAAAAATTAAGCTTCTGTAAGTATCTTAAGTCTCGTAAGCCGCATGTCTAGGAAATCTAGCTGATCGCTTGTGGCTGGCACGTTGTCGGCTTATTTATAGGGAGGGCGTTAGAATCCTCCCGGAAAAAGGAATTCTAGAAATTGCGTAACCCCAGCTTATTCTCTCAATCCATTTAGAACTAATTCGAACGTGAACAACCATTTCCCAATCGAGGGAGAAAATGGTAATGGTAGAGCGCCACACATTTCACCGGTGATTTCAATGTATAACACAAAAAAGGCGGGGGTAGCGTAAGGTTTATGCCACGGCTTGTTGTGCACAAATATAGGTCAACACACAGGCTATAACGCAGGAAAGTCGATTTACTATGCATAATAACAAACGGGATTGTGAGGTACTTAAGAAATTAGATCATTTTTTTCAGAGTTGCAAACTAGATTTGTGTTTCGATGTTACAAATGTAAAATACGAATTTTCTAAGGGCGATCATATTCTTCTTTTTTTTTCTAAAACGATACGGTCAGCTAGCAATAAATTTGTACGATCTCATGTCTATAAGTTAACAATTAAGAGCAGTTCAATAGTACAGTACTCATCTTACCTGTAACTGCTTCACACGGTGCTACAGCTTGACCAATTTATTTCCTTCAGAGACGCTTTTCACAACCAGTGCGCTGGGCTCGGCCAATTGATCTTCTCTTCTCGTTTCATATCTCATCGGTGTGCGTATCAAAGGATCCTCGCACCCCGGTAAAGATGGTAACTGTCACGTCAGGGTGGCTAGGTTGGCACGTCACAGTCAACAAAACTAGCAACAACAACAAAAATTGACTCACTTTTCGATCGATTCGTCTTGAAAGTGCGAGCGAAACTGAGATTACGGATCGGTAGGTCAGCCTAATAAATTTTTTTTAAAATTTATTTTGATGATGTGGCTCAGTGCTTCTCGAGTTGTTAAGTTTGTTGGCCCCGAGGGTAAGTTTCCGACCGCAGAAGGGGACCGGTGCGATATTTATTTTAATTTTTTAAAATTTATTTCACCTTTTTTAAAAACGTAAATGATGACCATCAAAGCCGAACATGGTACTTTATTAACTATTGCTATTAAATGCTAGCTGTTGCGTTTTTTCTGTAGATTCCTTTTTTTTCCCCAAATCTTCTAATGCAATATTTGTACATGTATATTACGACATATCCATTTGAAGTGGATATAAAACTAATGTTGGAGTGGGGGTGTGGGGCGGGTGGGATTATGTTCACTATCAGGGAATATTTAATGCGAAAGGTGGACCTGCTCATTATTAACAAGGAAATCAAATCACTCCTGGAGTTCATACAGTGTGCACAAAGAGTGCAGATAGTGCACGGACAGTGTGCAGATGGTACACAGACAGAGTGCAGACAGTGTGAAGAGGGTGTGCCGACAGTGTGCAGACAGTGTAAAGTGTGCAGACATTGTGCAGAGAGTGTGCAGACAGTGTGCAGACAAAGTGCAGACAGTGTGCAGACAAAGTGCAGACAGTGTGCAGACAAAGTGCAGACAGTGTGCAGACAAAGTGCAGACAGTGTGCTTACGGCGCTATACATTGAAGGAGAATGGAGATCGATTTTGTTTATTTACATTTTCTTATGAATGCACATTGGGTGAAAAAAAACAGTCTTGCAGTTGTAAATGTAACTTTTTGGAAGGCGAAAGGAGAACTTTCAACGAGCTATTTTGGGATATCGATTGCCACGAAAAAGAGAACGAAGAAACCCGGTTAACGTTGAGACTCCAATTCCACAGTTTAACTAAGTTAAACTACCACAAATGACATCCGAATAGCACTGAGTCAAAATGGACCCAGACACGCAGCGCTGACATTCGCACCCGGGTACCATTAGGCTCAAGCTATTCGGAAGTCATTTGTGGTAGTTTATTTTAGTTAAATTGGAAAAGTAAGTTTACAAACGTATAGTCCATTCAATTATCTTTCATTTGATACCTCATTTTGTCTTACAAACCCAACAATAGAATTTTTAATAGTTTTTTTTTTTTTAATCCCAACCTCTCACTTCTGGTAACCGGCTACGAATAGTCGCAGCCTTTTCGAAAACGTTCTCATCGGCCAGTTGAAAAGTCCTCAATGGTCAGTTCTGAGTATCCCTGCATGTATCCTAATGAGTGACTATGCAATGAGAATGCAGACCAATGTTTTTTTTATTAAAAGAGTCTTTGAAATGAGACTAAAGAATGATACATTGAACATTCCCACCCCCACCCCACAGCTCAAATAACTGGAGCTACACTTGACCGCTAATTTAGGAAATGCTGGTGAAAATGCTAGCTTAATGCTTGTTATCTGTTTTGCGAAGTTAATTTAAAGCTAGTTATCTAATGTGTGACGTCCTTCTATGTGCTAGTCATGTAGTTTTTCAACCTCAGGCTAATTAACTCATTGGTAAAATTAACCTGCGGCTCAGTTTTCTAGCTGTTAAGGTAACCGAATCCTAGTTCACTAGTTTGTTATGTTAACACAAAGCTGGTTTCCCAGTGTGGAATATAAAAAAAAATGAGAATAATTCATGGAAACATTTTTTTGTGTGGAGAGTTTACTGGTAAAGGGACAGGTGGATCCAGCATTACCAGCATGGCGTCATTTAACGGAGTTTGGTGTCTTTTAGACATTTTTTTTAAAAAGCCCAACATAAGCCATTAACATAATCGCTGACCCGGAAGCCCCACGAGGTGATACCCCCCCCCCCCAACCTAAAAAAAAAAAAAAAAAAAAGCTGTGAATGTCATGGGCTGGCATGAGATGTTAAATCTCAACAAAAGGCCTGTTCTACTAACAAGCCGCTCACGTCTCTCTCTAGCCTTGTTCTACCGCTTTGATGTGATTAGATTCTTCTTCATTAAGGGACGTCACTTTGATAATGACGTTTATGGAGTTGTCCTACATGAGGCTGAACAAGGGTGACCTTGTGTGTGTGTGTGTGCGTGGAATAAGGGGGGGGGGGGGGGGGGGGGGGGGTGGGGGGTTATATTGCTTACATTTTTTTTTCTTAAATTAACACCCCCCCCCCCTTTAACCTCTTTTACCTATATTAAAAAATACATATATACAGAAAAACAAATTAACATTACTTAATAACCGAAGCTTCTCGGCTGGATCTTTTCTTTATATTAACAATGCGCATAGATGTGTGTTCACAAAAAAAAATTAAACTTCCTTCAGAGTTTCCAATAAATAGAACATAATACATCAAAGGGAGATCGAGTAACCACAGCATCCACATCAAGGGGAGTTCGAGCAAATACAGCATCCACATCAAAGGGAGATCGAGGAACCACAGCATCCACATCAAAGGGAGATCGAGCAACCACAGCAACCGCACCAAGACAAACTCTAAAGAAATAAAGCGCCAGCCGGAATGACAAGTGATGTAGGAGTGATGTCGGAGTGATGTAGGAGCGATGTCGGAGTGATGTAGGAGTGATGTAGGAGTGATGTAGGAGTGATGTAGGAGTGATGTAGGAGTGATGTAGGAGTGATGTAGGAGTGATGTAGGAGTGATGTAGGAGTGATGTAGGAGTGATGTAGGAGTGATGTAGGAGCGATGTAGGAGCGATGTAGGAGCGATGTAGGAGCGATGTAGGAGCGATGTAGGAGTGATGTAGGAGTGATGTAGGAGTGATGTAGGAGTGATGTAGGAGTGATGTAGGAGTGATGTAGGAGTGATGTAGGAGTGATGTAGGAGTGATGTAGGAGTGATGTAGGAGTGAAGTAGGAGCGATGTCGGAGTGATGTAGGAGTGATGTAGGAGTGAAGTAGGAGCGATGTCGGAGTGATGTAGGAGTGAAGTAGGAGCGATGTCGGAGTGATGTAGGAGTGAAGTAGGAGCGATGTCGGAGTGATGTAGGAGTGAAGTAGGAGCGATGTCGGAGTGATGTAGGAG